TTGTTTGAATGATATTGTAGCGGATTGCTACGCTAGTAAATCCTGCCCGACTCAGAAATCTCTATGGCAGATTCTAAAACTTATAGCTAGACTCCCAGTACAAGCTAAGCTATAGCCCAGCTATAAGGGAAACAGACGTGTAGCACGGAATACGTTTATTCAGTACGTATATTGATATCGAAGTGTAATGTTGGCAAAGCGATTAGTTATCAGATAACTCGAGCATAATTCGTTTGAAATTTAATAGCTAAATATTTCTGAGTAATATTCTATAGCAGGATTTCTATTTGGAGTGTCCCACAATATCACTCATTTTAGCGCTCATTGCTCATCAGCGTTCTACCTATAGCTATGGCCGGTAAAAAACCCGCTAATGGAAATAAAGATACCACTGGTAAGCATTAATGTGTCGAAGATCTTAAATTTCTTAAATTTTTTATCCTTTTCTAATTTAGGTCCCAAGGATAGATTCTTTGAAGCATACGTGAATACGTCTTGCATTACCGATTCCGTTCCCTACTGGGAGATGATGAGGAACCCGGACCAATACTTGCACAACTTACATAATCTTCCACCCGAAACACAGAGTGTTATCAGACAATATTGTCTGCGAAGGGTACAAGAGAAGCAGAGAAGTGTAAATGCAGGAAATGGTGAAGAAGTGGGTTCGACAGGGAGTCAAGTGGGCCGAGATACCGGCGGAAAGGAACCACTCCAAAGCTTGAGACAAGATCCTCAACAGGAGTTGCGCAAAGAAATTGAGAAGAAAAAGCCATTGAAAGAAGGGAAGCAAGACAAAAATGCGAACGGGAAGGATGGAAAACACGAGGGTAACAAGGACCGCAATTGACCAGACAATTTACCTCCCTTTTGCCCAACTGACTACTTTTAACTCTTTCATAGTTGACTACATGTTGTACATGTATATTTACCACATTCATGGCTGCTAATGTTCCAGAATAAATACCATGGTCGAAGTAATTAATTTTCTTGTTTGAAGATGTTTATCTTGAGATTCATTCACCTTCACAATTGACCTGAGAATCGTCGATGGTGGTTACCAATATATTAACATTAGATAGCATCATCAAGAAGACATTTTCAACGCACTGAACAAAATATCTGTGCAAAAGTACTCAAATTCGAAGCTGTGATCAAGCTCAAATTTTTCACCTATTTTAATTGCAAAATGTAAACGTTTGTTTTAAAGTGTGAATAAGTATTTCACCAATAGAAATGAAAGTAGATATTTCTACGTGCCTGTGTAGCATTATGGTGATTTTGTGGACTTGGTGAAAAGCTTATCACAACTAATTATTTCGGCCATTCTCCAGTTTTAATCGTTTTCAAGCAAATGATGGC